CCCCCCCCCCCCCCCCCCCCCCCCCCCCCCCCCGCTAACTAGCCCCAACTCAGCAAAGCCAACATTTCGTTCAACAAAAAAAACATGAAAAATTATGGTAATTCTTTGGACCTGATGGAACTCTGATGTTGCTGAACAAAACTAAACAATTAATGAAAACGAAATTTTCCATTAATTGCCCATCTCTGCCAACAACTATTCATTCTTTCCTCCCTTTTTAATGTGTCTTCTGTTTTCGGTGCGTTCTGTTTTGGTGGTAGAGTCGTATGCAGGACATTACAACAATGCTAATGGATGGATATATTAACCAGAATAAAAATGTCATTTTTTACATTACAAGATCACAGCCATTCAAACTCATTCCCTGCCAAGTTAACTGACGTTTTAGAGACTGTTTTTCTGGGCTTGGCGCACCAAACGTACCCGCCAAAATAAACCTAAACAAAGGCAAAAAAAAATGATGATGAAGAAGGAGAGGACGGGAGAGCGCTCAAGCGGCAATGAAACTAATAGCTCACATATTTCAGAATTGTTGCACTTTCCTTCATTATTTGGTAAATTATTTCAGAAATACCGCACATTCGGATGTTCTGCATTCTGCGTCAAACAAAGACACTTTCCCTTTCTCCTTTCAAACCTTTGCTTAACAAAACGTATTTGATAAATCTTCGAAAAAAAACTCAAACGACTTGAAGCATAACAACGGTCCTACAATGATAAACCCTCTTCGTTCCAATAATAAACTACTTTAAAAGAAAACAACTATGTATAATACCCACCTGAATATATCAGCAACTTGCGTGCAAAACACTTTAAAAATACAATTTAAACAAAATCTTTAATTAGATACCCAGTTATAAATACATAACTTGTTCCTAGCCATTTCCAATTTCTGGGTCTATTTTTCCTCCTCGGTCCAAAAAACGGATACAGGTTTAAGCCCTTGGACCCCTTTAAGTTTATTCTACTTCACCAAAATTTTCTCGAGCAGAACAAATAAATTACATTTCAGTGAAACTGCCTCAAATAAAAAATGAGTGGTGAAGGCGGAGAGTTGAAGTTCAGTTAATTGACTCGCTGTACCGCCATAGTCCTCAACTGTCATGGCGCAACCAACTCGCTTTTCTCACTGCTCTTCTACAAAGTGTTAATGTTCTCCGCTACAATCGGTTCAGTTTTTCATAGAGTAGTTCAACTTGGTTTAAGTTAGTTTAACTTACAGCGGCTTGAAGTGCGCCACCGCTATGGTACACCACCAAGAACAAAAAACCAGTTTCTCATGCTGAATGTTTGTCCAGAAGGTTGGCAATGATGGACTGTCTCTTCGTAAAACTCCCATGTCTTTTGAAAATTTAACTTTTGTAGATAACCCACTCTTCATCCTCCACACAAATTTATTAAGAAAACGAGCCTGCTTGTGCGTCCAAAGTAAACTTAAGGAAAAACAGTTGATACACGCATACTGCACTTTTACAACTTTTCCAGTATCGCTTCTAAGCATCCCCAACAAGCATGGCCAACTTTTCGACAAAATCCAAAAGACCACAAAACCCACCTTAGTAACATTTCGAAAATTGAAATTACGGCTTTTAAATTTTTAAATCTAATAATGCTCCGTTCGCTATGAAAAGTAGTTTCCGTCACATCACCAAAATACATATGTCTAGGTTACTAATACCTTTATAGGCCTCATAAAACTAACTACAGCTGAAATCACACGGTGACAGTTTTCCCAATCCTTCTAGGAATTAGTTTTATAGAGGAAGATCTCAAATTCACTTAAAATTAGAAAACCGGAAGGCTTTAGGTTACCACTAACACCTCTAGTAAAAGCAAGTTAGAAAAAAGCAGAAAGATAAAAACCAACGATACGAAATTAGCAAACTTCTCACAAACGAGTACAGTAGCTCAGTAATCCAATACATCTGTTCAGTTCATTTATTTATTGTTTTCTTGCATCCACAGAACTAGCACCACTTCTCTTCTAACAAATGTATACGTCTTCTCAAAAAATAAACGTGTATTTGGGATGCAAGTTGGTTTGCCCTAAATACAAAAAATGAACTTTTAACAATAACCCATAATCTGCTGCAACACAGAAATGTCTCCGATTGAACAAACTATGATCAAAGTCAAAGTTCTTTAGTTGCTGATGACCAACAATCCCGATAAAGGTAAACTAGAAGTTATTTCCAAAACAAAAAAAAAGACCAAAAAAGAAGTATGAAAAACATGAACTATATTCTTCTGGAAATGCAATGTAACAAATGTTTCGGAAGAGATATTGTTGCCTCAGATCAGATTTTCGAACAGTGATGGCGAGAATGACAACAGCGATAGCTTCAAACTCAACTACCACCACTAACGTTACCCTAGATTTTTTTGCATCAAGTTTTCCCAGCGATTGGAACAGCAAACAGTGCAAAAATCTTGCGCTCTCAACTCAACCCTTCGGCCGGGCAATCGTCAACTAAACAAATTCTGCACACATACGTACACACACGCAAACATACACATACATAAATACATTCAGACACAGGCAGACACATTCAACTCCTAAAAAAAAGTATGTACGATACTCTTTTTAACCACTACAATCATCATCCAAACATCATACCAAAAAATCTTTACCACAAATGTTGCTAAGCATGGTCTTTACCCAGAACATTCAGCCCGTCCTCTCCCTTTTCATCCTCTTCCCTCTGTAAAAAATCCTTAATGCAGTTAAGCCCTGTTTTCCCTTCTGTTTGTCTCTCATTCTCTTCCCCTTAAACTCACAATAGCCGGGAAACGATACAAATGTTGACAGGAAATTTCGAAGAGAAAGAGCGGAAAAAAAAACAACATATGAACGCTTATACTGGTTTTAGAAAGCGCTCGAAAGGCGAAATCACTGCAGCAGCAAGAGTATCAGGAGGATAAACAAACTATCGATAAGAGGGGACCAAAGGGGCAGAATGCTGGAAGAGGACGAGAGGAAGGCTATTTTTTGAAGAGGACATACAAAGGAGACCTGAAGAAGTGCGGAAGCGGCAGCTCCGAAAAGTGCCACGACAAAGACCAGTTGGAAACACATTCTATTGCACCAAACTCTTTGCAAACCAATCACACAAATGCAGTCTTCCCCACCTCCTTTTCCCCGTTTGTGCCTTCTTTGGGAAAAGTCAAAAAGGAAGGGAAAAAAATAAGGCTGAAAGTAAGCCAAGAAATAATCCACAAAAGGCTAAGATTTCTTCACAGGCAAAACCAAGTAACTTTCATCAACAGAACGTTCAGTATCCCAACCTCCACTAACTTCACCCTTTTACTGTAAATGAAAGCAACAGTTGCCCCAAAACGTAACGAAGATTCATCCAGAAAGGAGCATGGTATTTAAACAGTATGGATTTTGGAGAAAACCTAAAAATTCATATCAGGAATATTATTACATCTCCAGATGCAAAATAATGAATACCCCCATTTAAAAAAGCCATGTATCCCAGAATAAGAATTTGATCACTATCCGCCACTATTACGGCTCGTACAACAGCCTTTTCCTGCACTGTCATATCTACTGCTACAATTGCCCCAAGATAGCTTCTAACCTTCAACAACATTTATGAAAAACTCCGACGTGTTCCTGCCTAAGTATCGGCCACTAACCATTTCGTTATGTAGAATATGAAAACGGCAAAACAACGAACAGTGGTCTTTCAAATCAACAGCTGACCACTAAGCGCCAACCTTTGATGAACACAAAACTTTGAAACCAATTTATTTCCAACAGGCATAAAACAAAATTGACTACACCCTGTGATTTTGCACCAGTTCAACTTCTGCAAAAAAATTCTTCCCTTCTGAGCAGAAATCCATGGTTATGTATTATTAGTAGCAAATCCGCCAAAAAACATATCTATATCCCAAACCTCGCTGTAACTCAGCAACTTTCCAAAGTCTTCATCCTTAGAAGTTTAAGCGTGCATATAGTCTGCTCCTCAAACGCCGTCACTGAAACGTCCTTTTGACTCCAGTTGCTATCTAGCAATACTTATCAATGAATACCCCTCCATGTAAATTTGCATACCCGGTTGTAATCAGATACATGTGACAGTAATGCACAGGAATCAAAAAATCCCGATCAGGCTAAAGAGATATGAATAAAAAATAGAAAAAAGCAAAAAAAAAAAGAAATCATACTCCGAATGAAAAATGAAACTAACTGATCAAACATCGTAACAAACAATACAGAAAGACAAAATAAAAATGCCTCTCAATCGACAACTGAGCCCAACAATTTCCGAGCGTATAATGTACACAATCAGACACACATACCCACACAAAAGACACACACACACAGACATACACACACCACCACACACACACACACACACACACACACACACACACACAGACAGTTCGACCGAGCAAAACTTAGATGTTAGGTCCAGCACAAAGCATCATCAAAAAGCACTATTTACATTACCGAAACGTTCAACCTAAGCGAATAACGTTAAACCTAAGCAAAGTTTGCTGAATGATTGCTGTAATCGTTGGTAAAAAATTCCAAACTTCAGTTCAACAGTACTTACCTATCAAACAAAACCAAAAAAAAACTGTAGAAAAAAAAATCCAAAAAAAAACTTCGACGGTCGCAACAACGTTTTCCAACAATAACGGTGACAACAATAACAATAATAATAACGAAAATAACACCAGTATCTTCATTTTACTTTTACATCATTACTGTTTTTCCTCTCCTACCCCCCCCCCCCCCCCCTCCCTTTCCTTTAAATAAAGCTTCTCATCGACTGCAACCTCACGCTTACACAAAAAAATTCCCCAAAAATCTAAATTTACACCTTCCTAATTTATTTGCGCAGGCGGAAATTTCAAGCGTTGTACGCGATTCTGTAAAAGCTGTAATAAAAAATTATTTTATTCCTTTTTCACCAAACTTTTCACTGTCACAGTAAGCATTTAATACGACCTATCTCCTCTTCCCCAACTGTAAGCAGCAAATTTATTCGAAAAATAAAACTTGTGACCACCGATAGAGGCCTGGTAAGTTTTAAAGAAATAGTAAGAAAACAAATATTCCTCCCTTAATTTAGAACAGCTTTAAAAAATAAGAACAGCAATAAAAGTAAAATTAACAAAATAATCATCATAACAAAAACAATAAAAACAAGAATAGTGGTAACAACGGTAACAGCAACAAAAATAACACCTTTTCAGGGTTAATACAAAGTCCCGTACGCTTTTAGACTTGGAAGCATAAAAAACTGTGCAATTAATATACGCAAACAGTGGCATCGAAAAGACAACAGATCTGATTAAATGAACCCAAAACCTGTTAGTTTAAATAATACAGTGCAAATCAGACCGATTTACTACGCTATCCAAGTTTCAACAAAAATATGCGCAAACATAACAAACATTATCAAAAAGCTAGCCACTAAATACCCAACAAACAAACGTCCTCTACCCCATAATTTCTCTCTCCCTCTCTAAAACCGTCGGTCTTCAGAGGACTTCGAACTGTACACACTCAATCTACACAAGCGCAGTTAGCCTGACCTAAACCAAGACAAATATCATCCATCTTCTACTTTTTTCAACCACTAAACTGAGAGAAAAAAAAATCGTTTTCTTTTTTCCTACCCCACCAGTCTTACACACACTCACACTCACTGATCAGCTTTTCCCAACAGATCTTAACATCCCAATTTGCGCTACCTTTTGCATTGTGCTTCGTAGTTGAAACCACTAAAAAAATGACTGCTTATTGCAGGAGGTTCTACTGACATAACCTAATTGTTTGTCTCTTCACAGTAGCAAAAATTCAAAAGCTACATATCCATATATTCATCACCGTCATGAATATGATGTAGATAAAGATCCCTTTTTCCGCACAACAAAAAAACCGAAAACAACTTAAGCTCCAAAACTTATTACAAGCAGCACTACGTGATTTTTGAGGAACACAAAATTGTTTTAATTGCCTGAAAGCGCCTTTGAAAATTGCTTTTGGCTTGTTCCTTCAGAACGAGTTTTTCTATTTCTTCCCTTCACCGCGCCTTTATCAACTGCTCCTTTAAATGTATCTTTTATGACCAACATAAAGAAGAAACCAAATACACGGCAATCCACTTTCCTACCCCTCT